CCCTCTCGCCCCTGCCTTGAGTGTGACAGGGGACAGTGCCCCAATCCCCCAATCGGCCCTACCCTGAGCATGACTGAGGGTGGCATCACAGCCTCCACATCACTCTGCACTGTGTATGACCGGGAGCGGTGCCCCAACTCCCCAATTGGCCCTGCTCTGAGCCCGACCAGGGGCTGCACCTAGGGATTGGGCCTGCCCTCTGCCACCCGGGAGCAGGCCTAAGCCAGCAGTTCGTTATCTCCTGAGGGGTCCCAGACTGCAAGAGGGCACAGGCCGGGCTGAGGGACCCCCCTCCCCAAGTGCACAAATTTTTGTGCACCAGGCCTCTAGTTATACTATATCCCTCCCTGTTGATGTAATAGAGATTGGAGAGAAAAAACATTCTGCAATATTAGTATTATTAAATATCTATATTTTACGAAGTCTGTGCATCTGAGCTGTCACCTTCATAAGTTGTAGTTCTTAGATTTTTTTCCACTTAGATGTTATAGAAAAGCTACAGGAGGCTGGAGTGGAGAGAATATTCTTCCCCTTAGTTAGCTAGGGCTCTGGTAAAGTCCTTCCTCTGAAGAGTGACCCTTCATTTGAGAACAATCTTGAAGTTTTTCATAATGGCTACTTTCCTCCTCCCCTTAGAGAGTATGGAGGAGATCTTTGTTGGCTCTTCAATTTGAGAATCTGTATGTTTCCTGGAGGTAAAACTCCAAAACATGTAGGCTTACCCCCCCACCCCTCTACCCCCTGCTTACTGCAGTCCCCAGAAATTCCTCACTTGCATGCTAGGTCATACTTAGCCTCTAGCAACCTATCAAAATTATCATTAACTGTTTCCAGCATTCATGGCTCCAGTGGCCTCTTCTTGAGAAAAGGAGATATAGACAGTGACTCCACATTCTCTCATCTTTCTGAATTTCGGGGTGGCAGTTTGCTGGGTAACCTCACTTCTTCGATAGGTCCAAGAAAAGTAATTGGTTTTCAGTTTACTCAGCATTATTTTTTGGTTGTAAAAACAGGAGTAACAACTTCCAAGCTTTTCACATGTCAGAGTTGGAATCAGAATTTTAATTTCCTTTTATTTTAAACCACTAGTGCTAAAAATTATTTTGCCTGCACAAAGTCTTAAAACCTCCAAAAGTAAGTAGGCACTTCTCTGTTGGTCTCATAAACATAAACATACATCAAGGGGCTTGCCTTTCATAGACCACAGAGAAAATCCATGTGCCAGAGGAAATCTTAGCCCTGGAGTCATTCTTAAAGCTCTGGAAACCCCACATGTAAAAATATAAAATTGACATCATCCTCCTCCAAGTTTTTATTTTACTGCTTTTAAAAGTAGTGAAATATATGCCACAATATGTCTCATTCTAAAGGTTGAAAAATGTATGCTATGACTGTAATGACATCATCCTGCCTCCCACAGAAGGATTTTGCTTGAAGAGTTCAGCAAGAGAACAAAATTAGCAGAAAACGTCACTTTCACACACTCAGATGGAAATTTTTAACATCTCCAATACATGACAGTCCCCTCGATGGGAACATATATGTCACTATAACGTACCAGTGATGTGCAAACACATCTTATGAGCAGGTGCTAAACTGAGTTCATTGAATAAAAATAGAAGTTTGGGCCACACTGAGAACAAAGGGTTTCTCCTAAGTGTAGTTTCAAGCTAAGAAATAAGAATGATGTCTAAGATAAAACTTCTGGATGCTTTTGTGACAATGTGCAGAGGAGGTTTTCTATTGCCTCTGATCATTCTATATTTCATAGATGATGCAGAAATCCTACTCTCTCCTTACTTTATGAAATGAAATAAAAATTCTCCACTGATTCAATAAGGTTTTAATTGTTCCAAAATTTTTAAAAAATGTTATTCTTGCCCTCTTTGAGGTTTCCTTCATAAAATTCAATTATGAAAACAGTATAAAACTATCCAGCCAATTCATTTTACTCAATTTGTCTCTAAATACTCTTTACCTTAAAATGTATTTCATGTTGCCAATATACTGAGAATAATAAAGAACAGACGAAAGTACACATGATCAATTATATATCTAGAGAGAATATTAATGTGAGGTTTCTATATGTAAGAGAAGGAAACAATTTTTTATTTGCCATGTGTAATCCTGAGAAGGTTTTTCTCTCTGTTCACAGTGCTAGAGAGTGAGGTATTTTTATATTTGTGGGAATATAAGACAAATGGGCACTATAAAATGATCTAGTAAAAAAGCAATATTATTGATAAGTGCATGTGAGAAGTAAATAGGAATATCAAATATTAATAGCGTATACATCTGATTATTGTTCAAAGAATTGAATGTAAAATCAAAATATTGTCATGATCCAATCTCTCTTTCCTCCCAGTCCCACCAGACACACACATGTGCACACCACACACGAAAATATATCAATATCCTCTTCCATTACTCTTCTCTATTTATTTTCTCTTCTCTATAGCCTTTGCCATGTGTTCCTGTCTCCTTCCTTCAGCCTGGCAAAACCTTTTTCTCAATTCTACTTGCTTTTGAATTCTCCTGCCTTTGTAACTCTTTGCTTAAATACCATTAACATTTGAAATTGTGGAAAATTTGTTACTATTTAAGCATTCAAATTCATATCAAATACAGAAAGTGGTGGGTAAGAGTTTTTTACTTTCTTCCTTTAACAGAATCTTCATCTTCCTCCAAGTAGAGACACGAGAAAAGCCTTTTTCAAAAAGTTTCCTTCGATTTTGCCATGCCTCCTCCTCAGTGTCTTCTACCTCCAGGATCCTTCAGTTTCTTTTCTTAAACTTCATTTTAAATGTTAATCTATTCCATCTGGTTGTCTATATGTAGGTGTGTGTGTGTGTGTGTGTGTGTGTGCGCGCGCATGTGTGCGAGTGTGTTTTCTTGTGATTAATGGGGTTTTAAGTTCTCTGGGTATTTTTTTAAGGAGTCTTATGATGGGGGATGAAGGAGAGTAGATATCTAGTAATATTCAATAACTCCTGAAACTGTTTTATGAGTAAGACTTGAGTGTGCCTTTTTTGGTCTTCCTCTTCCTCCTACATAACTTTGCAGCATTTGAGCCTTTCTATTGACAAGGTTTCACTTTTATTGGCCTTTAGAACAAAATTCCCATTGTTTTTTTATCTTATAACATTAAAAATTCCTTCTCAGTCTGCTTAATGGAGCTTCTTTGTAAAGAAGGGAGACTTACTCCTAAATATAGGCATAGCTGAAGGTATGTGTTTGGTTTTCATCTCACTTTGAATATATTCTTTGGGTCATCATACCTCTTCTGATTCATGTATATGTAGATGATTTCAAACTAGAACTGAGGAGATAATATCTACTAGAAAACTGGGTCTTGAAGGATGTATAGGAATTTCAGTGGACGATGGGAGAAAAATTAGTTAAGAAAAATGTTACTGCATACACAAAAAAATATAGAGAGCGATCAATCAGGATGGCAAATCCAGGACTGTCCACAGTGTACTAAAAGAAACATTTTTTTCATGTCATGTGACTAACAGATGAATACTTATCTCATGTGATCTACTTTCTCAGTGCTTATTTTTCATTCCTTTCAATAATATTTGTTCCTATATAAATTTGATTGATAAATATATTTAGTTACTATTAAAGTTTAGACAGCCAGTTGGTATGGCCCAGTGGTTGAGTGTCAACCCTTGAACCAAGAGGTTACTGGTTCTGTTTAATTCCCCATCAGGGCATATGCCCTGGTTGTGAGCTCAATCCCCAGTAGGGGCATGCAGGAAGCAGCCAATTGATGTTTCTCTCATCAATGTTTCTATCTCTCTATCCCTCTCCCTTCCTCTCTCTCTAAAATCAATAAAAACCTATCCTATACAATAAAAGGCTAATATGCCAATCGACTGAACAGGGGAATGACCAGTTATGATGTGCACTGACCACCAGGGGGCAGACACTTAACACAGGAGCTGCCCCCTGGTGGTCAGTGCACTCCCATAGGGAAAGCGCCACTCAGCCAGAAGCCAGGCTCATGGCTGGTGAACCCAGCGGTGGTGGCAGGAGCCTCTCTGGCCTCCGCGGTAGCGCTAAGGATGTCAGACTGACGGCTCCTGGACTGCAAC